CAAAATCCTGCATTACCCTTTATACGGAATATACCATCATTCCCATAGTCTTGGGTCCTTAAGGCAATGGTGGATTTATATCATCAACCGATAGCTCTCTAAATTAGGGCCCCTTTAAACATCTCCCTTTGGGGCGGGCCGCAAGCCTCTGCAGGCCCACCGTTGCAAATGGAAGCTGTGGGTGTAGGGCTCACCCTAAACCCTAAACCCCTAAACCCTAAGCCCTAAACCCTAAACCCTAAACCCTACACCCTGAACCCCCAAACCCCAAAACCTAAACCGTTCAGGCGTCAGGATTTTGGTTTAAAGTTGGAGGGCATGCAGAGGTAGGTGCTAAGCCACTGGCGGCCGTTTCAGACCTGAGACCTCCAACACTACTGTTGGGGCCTTCATGATTAGAATAGGGTTCCTTTACAGGGTTCCTTTAAGGGCTACTATGAGGGATCTATATAAGGGTAGTCTAATAAAGGGGCCTTAATAGTTAGAAAAGGGTTTTGGGGTAATATTACAGCAAAATTCGAACAGGGAACCCTCAAAATAGTATTGGTAACTAGGTATTCTCCTATATTACCAACCAACCAAACGTGAAACAATACTTGTCAAACACATGATCTCTGAAAAAACAATGCAGAGCACTCCGGCAAGACAAGTGGCCAAAAACTCGCCGTCACGTGAAACGTTTACTGAGACTTGAGAAGAGCTTTCAATCCACCCCGGGCCAGGATCACAGGACCCAAACCTCTCCTAGACCCTAAACCCCTAAACCCTAAACCCCTAAACCCTAAACCCCAAACCCCTGAACCCCTAAACCCGTAAATCTCTAAACCCCTAAACAATCTCAACACCTAGAGCTTCTTTTCTGCCCAGACCATGCAAGACCCCAATCTCTATTCGTCGTACCCTAAGGCTTTGAAGTAGTTCCTTTTTGGGGTTCATGTTCAGAATCCTTTTAGGTAATCCCAAAAAGGAACTACTTTGGGGCCTATGGGTAGAGCGATTTCAACACCCTCCCTATAACGAAAGATATATAAAACTCCTCATAAAGCCTCGATACACCCCAAAACCCTACCTCCAAAACCCGGATCCCACCTCGGCCATCCCGTGCCCATGCGAGGAAGGGGGGGAAGGCAAATTCGAAGCTAACAGTCCGCGGCGTTGGGTCGGTGCTTACAGGGTGTAGCGCTTAGGGGTTGGGGTCTAGGGTGTAATCAGATTTTAGGGGTTGGGGCTTGGGGCTCAGGATTTGGGATTCTAAGATTGTTCTGTATGCTTTCAAAGCGACCCGACTGTGCATTTGTTTTACTTAATTTACTTATCTCTGCTTTCGCTCTTTTCAAGGGGGGCTGAAAGTTGCTGCTGATGGAATTGTTTCGAAAGGTGCGAGCTGCATCTAACATAGATGCGCTAATGATTAGAAGAGGGCTTCAAGAGGGGCTGAATGAAGTTTTCGGTGGATATGCTGCCATCCTTGACTCTGAAAGGCACTATAAGGGGAGACTGTTTCTGATTATTATAACTATTAAGAGACCCCTATATCACAAGGCTGCTGCCACTCTACAATCGTCGACTGCGACTCCGACTGCTGCTACGATTCCAACTCACTTCTGCTTCTGCTTTTTGAGGTTTAACCTTTTGTCACTTTATCCCCTGACAGTCCCTGGAAATAACATATGCCCTGTAGAAACCCACATATTATTAAGACCCCTGATCATAAAACCCTTATAAATATAGAAACATAGCACAGCTTATAGACCCCTTTAAAGGAACGCCCATAATTAACCCTACCCCGACTATGAAGGCCTGTACATCACACCGAGACACGTTTGTTACGACCGCGCCTGGGTTGCGTGCGGAGGCCAAAGCTCGCAATAACAGCGGCCCGGTGCTCCGTTTCAGACCCCCGGGAGGATCAATGGGACTTAGTAGGCTTCCTTAAAGGGCTGCTTTATGGGATCCTTCAGGGTTTAGGGTTTAGGGATCTACAAGGGAAAGTAGATCCCCTAATTTGGGGCCCTATACCACTAAGGGTACTTTATAGGAACCACCATTGCCGGATCTACTTTTTGGATCCTCCCGGGGGTCTGGGGTTTCATTAACGGAAGGCGAACTACGGGGTTTAGAAGGGCTCTATAGACGTGTTCATTATGAGGGATCTGAAAGGATTCCAGAAGGTGAGCGAAAGCGTCTGGTCTAAAAGGGCTGTTTTTCGATGTTTTGAGGGTTCCTTAACACGGGTTCTAGACGGTTCGGGCTGTTTCAGCGTGTTATGAAGCTTGAGGACGTCCGCTTCAGGGCTCACCCGGACCCTGACCCTAGGATGTCGTGCTTTTTTGAATACCTAGTTTCGGAGTTGCAGGTTCGAGTGTCAAATGAGAAAGACAGCTAACCAGAAAAACTCGATGAGGGATTGTGCAGCTCTTTCAAGCCGCGAAACGAACCGCCCCTAGCAATCCAAAACACTTGTGTCACCGACGTCTTATACTAAAACAAGCCCTAACCCCAAAGCTTGTCGCCCTTCTTGTTGCGGAGAACTCAGAAGGTTCTCCTCGCCGTGTTCGTGATGCCGGCACCTGTGCTCGAAAATGCACAGAGATTCGGGTTTCGAAGGCGAAGCTGTCCGATTGTGCCCTGAGGTCTAGGGAGTCTAGGGTGCCAGGAAACCCATGCAGAACGGGGGCCCGAAACATTGGAAGAGGGTATGGAGGGATGTTGTACTCCGGCTATACAAGAAGTAGAGATCAGTAATGCTACATACTACATCATACGATCTGTGGCCTTATCTATTTAAGGTTGCATAGACTCCAGTGCGCCAGATCTCGATGTCCTGCGGCCCAAATCTACTTGACCGTGCGATGGGCGAAGTAGCTTAACGCCACAGCCAAGTTCTGCTGCAGAATCTCAGAATCTTAGAGCTATGGGCTTATGTTATTGCTAGGGATCCCATTCTGAGGATATTGTCCATTATATAGATAAGTACAGCTACCTTATGCGGAATCCCACAGTTACGAAGTCCCATGAGCTTTCAAGTTGGGTCCAACCATGCTGGAGACCTGACAGGTCTGCAGGCAGGACATAAGGGCCTTATACTCTATTCTACTATACTTAGCCTACGGAGCTCTAAAAATGAGTGTTAAGTTTTCAGGCTTCCGTGTCTTATCCGTGGGGCTTAGGGTAGACTACGATTCTATAAAGAGGCTTCAGTTTCAATAATAGTGCCAGACGTTCTCCGTAAAAGTTCTTTGACAATAACTGAGGTATGCATTAGAAGCTGCCCCCACCCCGTAATGGTGCCTATAAGGATTATATTGGGCCCTGTTATATTCCTATGATACCACTAATGCAGGGTGCGGGCCACTTCTAAGGTATCCAGGGAAGGGACGGTCATCTCTTACCTGTCCTGTGTACCATTCTGAGGAGCATCTAAGCAACCGAACTCAAAAGAGACCCCCTCAAGACCCTAAATCCCAAACAGTGGAAACCTCTCTCGCACAGCTCAAATCCAAAACCAAGTTCTAAAACCTAGAATCCAAACCATAAACCGCAAAGCCCCGAAGATACATCAAGAGCAAAGGTGCCGATGCAGGATAGAACGACTGTCTCCGAGTCCCCGTGATCCTGGCAAGAGTGCAGCGCTACTTCGAGGTTCATGGGACTTAGTAAGTACAGGTATAAGTACCTTAACTGGGGATATAACCAACTATAAGTATAGTTACCTTATTCATAACCCCAGTTGCTAAGTACCATGAACCTCCAAGTAGCTCATGGGCTTCCAGGCTCAGGTTTGCTTTGTTTTAGAGGGCTCCTATTCTCGCTGCTGTTACGACTGGGAAACTCCTTCTCTGGATAGGGTGTAGAGTTTAGAGTGGGTTTACACGACTTTCTTGTGGGGGTGCATAAGGCCTTTCTTGTTTCTGGACCAAAACTTCACCAAGGACGTCTGATGAAGTCGCTGGGACACGAGAGCAGATGCACAGAAGGGGTTGAAGGTGCAAGGATTCAGGATCTCGGCAGCGGCAGGGGTAAAGCCAAATATATGGGTGAAGTAGGACCTGAGGGAACCAGCACCAGCACCAGCAGCAGCAGCAGCACCACCACCACCAGCACCCCCCACCGGACACTGCCACCCCAAGCACCGGCACCCGGATCCCCTCTACTTTACCTTGGGGGCACGAGGATAATGATGTTCCGACTTTCTGGCTTCTAGTGTAGGTACTTCGGGGCCAAAGTATATGCTATTTGGGTACATGGAACCTTAAACCCTAAACCCCCGCAGAACCTTTATAGAACCCTTATGGTACCCTTAATGGTATCCTTAAAGGTACCCTTTAAGGTACGTGCCCTTAAAGGTACCCCTTAAAGGGACCCTTAAAGGGACCCTTAGGATTCTTGCAGCTCCCAAACTCCAGTCTCGAATCATCCTCAGGCGGCCTCCCGGATCTGGAAGGTGATCCCAAGGAAGTCGCGAATGTGGCGCAGCATCTGGCCAGATGAGGTATGGCATATTCGATCATGCATAAGATGATACACACCATATCATACTAGACTCTAACCTAAATAATACAATAAATATGGTATAAGACGGTATAAACAGATGATCTAGTTTAAGATACATAGGGTAAGATAGGTCTGACACTCCCAACTCCGCCTTTTCGGTCCAGGGTGGGTCCTAAGTTGACCACGTCCCCAGATGCTTGCTGCGGCCGCCCTGTGCGCATGGAACGGTGAGGGTCGCACGCTGAGGTATTACATCACCTCCTGTACAATGTTCATGAGAATTCGAGCTTCGGATGTAGAGAGTAAGGCTAGTGCACAAGTGTCATGGAGCAGCTGTACAACGCTCCAGATTCTGCACGATGAAGGCCGCACAAACCTGCAGGCCCCCGTGTGCTCAAGCCTTACAAAAGGCAAAAAGCTGCCTGGAAGTGAACACCAAAGAACCACCAGGCAGAAGGAATGCCCTACGAAACCTCGTCAGAAGCCTTCAACAACCAAAGATTTCCTTAGCGGCACCCCAACATCGGTGCTTTGACCGTCTTCGTGGGTGGTGGGAACCTGGACTTTCAAGTAACCAGGGAGAAAACATAGGGTTTAGGGTTTAGGGTTTAGGGGTTTAGGGTTTAGGGGTTTAGGGTTTAGGGGGTTAGGGTTTAGGTATAGACTTCTATTTCATATTTCATAATGGTTCCTTTAAGGAGCAGGTACCAAAAAAGTATTCAAGTATGGTACTCCAAACCCAGGAAACGGCTGTCGCACGCCGAGCTGGAAGATGACGGGCTTGTATTCGTCTGGTACACCTTGAAGGGTTTAGGGTTTAGGGCACCTTGACACATGAGAACTTCGTCTGATGGTTTAGCGGTTTAAGGGCTCAGGGATGCTGGGTTTTGGAGTTTAGTTAGGGTTCGTGGATGTTGCGTTTTGGAGTTTAGGGTTCGGGGCCAGTTTAGGTTTCAGAGGTTCGCTCGCCATCGAGCTGAGGCTTTCGGGCCTGTTTGGCTTTAGACGGCAACAGACGGTCGGAAACAGTCCGAGAGCACCACGGCGAGGACTTTACAGAGAACGTAAGACAGAACCCTTTTTTTTGCAGAACTCTGCCCACACTGTTCACGGGGAATGAAGCCAACAACTAACTATCATTTTGTCATGTAAATTCCTTCCCGGATTCCCTTCAACTTGCGGTTTTTCCTTCTTGTAATTGGGTATCCGGGAACCTATTGAGACCAAACGGGTTCACGATGGCGCTGAATTAGTGCGAAGTCGAACACGTTTAGCCTGCGACCTTGAGACATGGTATGGCAAAGCTGACACAGCACATCTCAAGCAAGAGCCTTATACTAATAAAACACGTGCGTAGAATCGACACTCAACACTAAAATTACTATCCGCAGTTTGAAACACTAAATTCGAAAATATTAACAATGCCTACCCAAAGGCCCCAAAGTAGTTCCTTTTTGGTGTTCGTGTATAGAACCTATAAGGTATATAATCCCAAAAAGGAACTACGATGGGGCCTCTGGGTAACACCAAAGCCCATGAAAACAAGACACAGCGGTGCATGACCGGGCTGTTCCGGTAACGCTCGACGTGGGCCTTCGCAAGACTTCTAGGTTGAACGGCTGAATTCTGATTTAATGGTTGAAGGTACGGTCAGGGTTAAGAGTTTAGGCAGTGATATATATATATATATATATATTTATTTATTTATCTATTTAATTATCTATTTATTTATTTATTTTATCTAAATTCCTAACCTTGGTCCATGAAATTGAAATCCTCAACTGTTTGTTCCGGGCCGGGGCAGCACGGCATTGAACACAAAGTGTAGCAAACAGGTACCCCCCAAGCCCATTCGAAAAGCGTAAGTGGGTCCTCACCTATAAGCCCTCGAAGCGTACCCCACAGTCTCCAATTGTAGTTCGTCTTTGGGCTACCCGAATCGTCTATGGTTTGGATCGTTAGTGGTGCACAACAAGCTGATGAACAAGGTAATTTAAAGGGCCTATTCAATCACAACGGAGACTGTTGCACTTCTCGACAGAACCCGATTTAACAGGGCCCCTGAGCCCTCGGTAGAGCAAGCAGAGTGGCCTTGCCTCGAAACCCTGGTGCGGACTGCTCCAGCGCACCTTCGTCTCTATCTGGGTGTCGGGCCGGGTCAATGACATTTAGAGTCTAGGGCTTTGGGGCTCGGGCTTGTTAGATGCTTAAAGTTTCGAGCAGATGGTTACGCCTTCGGGTTTAAGGCAGCCCCAGCGGGGCGCTTGACGGTCTGTGCATGCCTCCACGTCGAATCTCCATGAGCCAGCATGTCTGAGTATGACATACCTCGAAGGTGCGGGACCTCTCTTCGAAAACCCATGGTACGGGCCCCACTAGTACCCTGATGTAGGCAGAAGAGGCTTCTATCCTAACAGTCATTTTTTCCCACGTCCGGAAGCCCAGAGACTCCAGAAAACGTAAAACACGTGTATCAGGGTTGGCTGTAGGAATGAAACTAGCTAGCATGGGAGCCCAACCGTCATCGAGAGATAGGGAGAATGCTATTTCTGCATAGCTTATCATCTAAGACTTTGGCTCAGGAAAATGTCTCCACGATCCAGACTTTCCAACGTATCTGAATCAGGTGTACGTTCCTGACATGAGAAATGTTTCAGGAGAGATCAACGAAGAAGAAGAAGAAGACGTAGCATTCTCCACCGACATGTGCAATAAACCGGAAGCCTCTGCAACAGAACACGCACAAGGATTCATAGTCTACGAACTTTGGCCTCCAAGCCCCAAAAGCCCTGCCCTTCTAAAAGCGCAACTCCGAAACCAGTACAGACCCTGCCTGACAGACCTTGGTCGTGGGCAGAGACCAGCTCGCAAATCCGTCGAAGGCTGCCCAGATATCGTCCACGGCCACTCTGTCCACAAGGTTCACGAAAGCATAGCCTTCAGCTTGGGCGAACAATAGAAACTAGTCTTCGTTGAATGTAGTGGGGCCAAAGTAGTGGTAGTAGTCGTCAACGTCGTAGTCCTAGTCGTAGTCGTATGCGTGGTCGTCGAGATCGCCGCGGTCGCCGTCGTCGTCGTCGTCGTCGTCGTCGTCGTAGTAGTAGTAGTAGTAGTAGTAGTAGTAGTAGTAGTAGTAGCATTAGCGGCAGTGGCAGTGGCAGTGGTAGCGGTAGTGGTAGTAGTAGTAGTAGTAGTAGTAGTAGTAGTAGTAGTAGTAGTAGTAGTAGTAGTAGTAGCATTAGCGGCAGTGGCAGTGGCAGTGGTAGTGGTAGCGGTAGTGGTAGTGGTAGCGGTAGTGGTAGTCGTAGGGACAACAATACCCGGTGACAAGAGGATCAATCTCACTTTCAAGTTCAGGACTTCTTGGTCTCGCCCAAACGAAGGAATATGATCTTGAGGACCAACCCAGCACTTGGGGTTTCTTGAATTAGGATGTATAGGGCAAAATCAGGATCCTACTGTTTCGGGTCTGTATAAAACCCGTGTTTTCGGAAACTCCCGAAGCTAAATCATCTAGGCAACCGAGGTTGGCATCGCGATAAAAGTCGCAGGGCAGGTAGGCGAAGTTGTATCGACCAGCAAAGCCTTGCGAGTCCAACAATTCCAGGAGCATCTCCCGCGTGTAGTCGTTCGGCACATTTCGCAACATCACCTTTCTTCCCCAACAATTGTAGGTGTAGGCTTTAGGATTTAGGGACCCTATGAACTACGAAAGAGAAGGCTTAGAACAACCCTATGAACTACAAAAGAGAAGGCTTAGGGCACTTAAATATCAGATCCCGGCAAAGAAGAAGCATGTCAAACCCACATCACATCTTGAGAGTAGTCCATTGCAACAACCTGAACACGACCCTTACATCGTTGAACTCCGTCACAAAAAACACCATATTACATGTTCTATGTCGACGACAATATACCATACGGACCATACATTATACTGTGTATATATACCTCATATACATGCCTCTGTCTATAGACAGCTATCTATTTAAAAAACCGAGTTTGTATTGTATATTCCGGGGCCTTGTGCATTCTACATGACTTTAATAATTAGCCGTGTATGAGAGCTAAGTGACTGTCGTTTTGCATTCCGGCAACTGAGTCGGCTTCGCTTCCCCTTCAAGCTTCTCTGTCGAGGCTTTGGAAGCAGAAGGGCTGTCGTCCTCGCGAGGGGCGTTTAAGGCTCTATGGCATTGTGGCTGCAGGGTTCAAGGGTTGTTTCGTTGTTTGGCCTCTCGCGGTTGGGTGTCGTCGACAAATTTAACGTCTTGAGGGTAACTTTTGGGTGTTCGGAGATGAGGGCTTTGGGGCCTCAGTGTTTCGGTTTAGGGCTTACCTTAACCCTGAATAAACTACCCTTCTAGGGCTCCTTATTATGATTTCCTTACATACCTCCTTCAAAAGGTAGGCTTTTTGGGGGAGAAGGTAAGGTGTGTATAAGCTCTTACTGTTGAGAACCCCTCCTGCTTGGACTCGTCTTCCATGCACCTTGCAGGCTCATCAGCCTGGGCTATTCTGGGATACGGTTGATGATATAAATCCTGCATGACCCATAGTAAGGAATATACCATAATTCCCTTAGTTTAGGGTCCTTAGGGTTAATTCAGGATTTATAAGATCAACCGTACCTTTCAAAGTTTGGCATGTTTGTTCCTGTTTCAGAACAGAACCACACTAAACCCTGAAACCCTTCACTGAACCCTAAACCCCAAATTGTGTCCACCCACTAAACCGCGAATTCCATCCACTCTGAACCGCAAGTTCTGAATACCAAACTTCTTCTACCCTTAGTCGCCATATTTTCTGGAACGGCCGAGAAACCTCTGCAGGCACGGCTGACGCGATGAAGGCGGTTTGGCTTCGGCGCAGGCGTCTGTAAAGCTGCATGAGGCCACAGCCGTCATCAACCTCGACTCTTGGGGTCTTGGGTTAGGGTTTAGGGTTTAGGGTTTAGGGTTTAGGGTCTACACGCGGCTACTGACGTTTGTATAAAGTTGATAGGGTTCTATGCGGGTTTAATAATGCAGCTCTTGTTAAAGAAGTGAATGCAAGTTGAAGAACGAAGCAAGCATGGTTTATGGCATTTTACGGCGACATGAATAAAGCTCCTCATAAGAACACAGCGGCATGGATGAAAGTGCTCTTCACGACAACCTCGCATGTGACCTCATAGTCCTCTTCCTCGCAAGACTCAGAATCAGGGCTGCGAGAAGAAAGAACCTCCAAGGGAGTGCCCTCGACGGTTTCGCGGTCACTGTCGGTCTCGGCGGAATGCATCTGGCTGGAGTGGCAGGACATGGGAGCAATACGCCTCGAAACTTCGCTGCTCGCCGACCGTTTCTGAGCCAAATGCAGTCTGCAGCAAGCTGCGGAAGTGATGTTGAGCATATGCAGATTACTACCTCAGCCACCGGGCCTAAACGGCTTTCCCAGTCATCAGCCATTAAACAGCACCCGAAATCATCCACGATGGCGCAGTCTTCCTATGACTGCGGTGAATATTCATCACTCTCACGAGCAAGTCTTGAAGGAACGTGGATATCTTGGTCGCACTTCTGGCTTGCGGCATGTCCTGAGGCCCAAAGCCTTGGCCTGTCACAAAGGGCCTCTGCCGAAAGTCTGTAGACGTTGGGGCAAGCATAGACACAGACATACATGTGTACCTACATACATGCAGACAGACCTGCGTCCTTTTGCTTAAGGTGCCGCCTTCCTAAGAAGGGACCCTAACCCAAACTGTAAACTCTAACAAGGGGTTTTTTTTTTTTTTAAAGTGCAATGGCTCTTTCTCCACTCCGCAAGCAGAGCAGGTCTGTAGCCTGCCAAACGGCTTACACTAAAGCAGTGGTACTGTCAGCATCGAAAGTGACAGTACAGAACACTGACACATCTTCACGAATGTTGAACTCAACTACGACCGCTATCACGGCTCATGTCACGACGTAACGAAGATGAAGAGGAGGCTGCACGACGTCGAGCATTGCGAGTCCACCCATCACGAGGAAGTCTAGGACCTTCAAGAACCTCAGGAGGATTTTCGTCATGTTCTCCCTCATCATGTACAGGTCCATCACGACTGCGACTACGTTCACGGGGAGGATGGCGTCGACGTCGAAGTGCAGTGGCCCGGAATTGCCCACGTGGATGCCCCAAATCACCAGTAGTTGAACTCCCCGAATGATGAATCCGCACTGATTGTTCAAGCATAGGGTTAGTGCCAGCTCGTACAAATTGAGGACGTGGCCGAGGCTGATAGTGACGTCGGCGTTGAAGACGGTGTCCTTCTCCAGCAGTCCAGCCACGGTGGCGATGACGAGAAAGTCCGCGACCAGGTACATCAGCAAGCACAGAATGGGGAAAGCTGGCATCCCACGAAGAAGGCCTTGGTTCACCTGCCGGCCAGTTCGCAGGGAGAGTCTGTTCACTCTGTTGCACCAAGAACAGATCTCTGTCATCTTCTGCCGGCCATGGACCAATGGGAGGATCACGCTCTGCCGCCATGTAGAGGGAGGCCACATGTGTCCGCCACGCCCGCCGCCGGTAACCTGCCACTTCATGAGGAGCTTGGTCCGGCACGGCATTCTGTAATTCTGTCAAGTTGCCCGGCAGGTTCGGTGTGAGTAAGACCGAAGGCGACAAAATCCAACGGGACGTGCCTGTTTGTGAGGGACCCGAGCCAGCACGACTTTCACGGTAGATAGCCTGCATAATATTGCGGTCGTAGGTCCCGACATTGAGTAAGGCAGCTCCCTCTGGTGAGTGAAGCCAGGTCAGCGTCTCTTCTACAGCTTCAAGGATGAGTCGCTCCTGGTGTCGAAGTCGACGTAGGCGGGCAATAAGCCTGCGCAATGTTTCAATGACATCTCCCTGGCCACCGTGGATAAGGTTGACATTGACCACGTCCCTGACAACTTCACTCGGCCATGACAGTCCAGGGGGATGTTCCACGATGGTGCTTGTAGTGGAAGTACTTGTGGCACATATGGTAGATCCCAAACGGTCCGAGTCATTGAAATACAGTGAGGGCCACTCTGAGTGCACACACCCTGCAAGCGAAGTGGAGGTAGATGTCGTCCAGGATGTCATCCACAAAGTGCTCGTGGTCGTAGACGAAGAAGTCCCCCCACTGCCTGAAGCCTCTTGGTCCGGTTCGACGTCGGACTCTGGTTCACGCCAAAGTCCACGAAGTTCACCAGGTGCAGGCACATTGACAGGAAGAGGTGGCGGCGGGCCAAACGGTCCACCTGTCGGCGAGCTCGGCGGAACCCAAACCAAAACACCTTCAGCATTGTATGCATATTCACTGTCCATGGTGGGCACGTGAACACTTGACCCAGAGGGGCTTCGTGATCTCGTTCGTCTGTCTCTTCTACGAGTAGCCCTCCGTCTGGTGCCTGTTCGAGATGATGCCACTGTAGTCGAGGAGGCTTGCCGACTTGACTCAATCCCTTCACTGTGGATGCTGTTCGACCCAATCGAATCTGCTGGTGCTGTCGGTGACGGCCGGGCATCCGCAGGCTGCATTCTCACAGCAAGGTGGGTCTCGAGGGTGTTCAGAAACAGATCCATGAAATTACGCCCCCAGTTAAAGAGACGCCAGCGTTCAGTTTCCTCACCAGGTATTCGTCGTACTGGAAGATATCCTCTCGGAACAAAGCGGCGGGAAATCACTGTCTGGAGGGCTTCGAGCGCGTCCATGCCGTCTAGGAGCCGTGCATGCAAACAGCTGATCGACCAACGGCCCTCGGGCCCATGGCCCTCTGTCTGCATCCTTTCCAGTTGCTGTAGAAGTCCTTCAAGGCGGGCGATCATAACCTGCGGGACACCACGTTCTTCCAGGCTTCGTCGCTCAGCATTTGTCATCTGCATGAGTTGCACCACATCATTGTCTGACGGTGGTTCTTCTCCTCCAATGGTTACTCGGACACCTCCCGTGCCAGTGATGGGACGAACATCAGGGAACAGACCCCAATTGGGTGGAGGTTGTTCGTCCTCTTCATCAGCATCCTGGCCTCCTTCTTCCAGTACTGATGCGTCATCATCAGCATCAACATCTGGTAACACTGCGGGCGTAGGCTCGCTGTGAGGCCGGTTAGGCATGGTGATCCATGAAGTCGTGCTGGTAGACGAAGTAGACAAAGTCGGAGTAGTAGGCGATGCCATCCATGTAGAAGTCAAAGTGGTGGTGGTCCATGCAAGATTTCTCCCATTGTGACTCCAATCATTAGGACTCCAGGAAGATGGCCATGTTGTGGTAGTCCAACTAGAACTCTCCCATGGGTCAGACCACGATGACGAAGTCCAGGAGGAAGTCCAGGCTGTCCATCCATCAGAAGTCCAATTTTGGTTCTGCCATTGGTCCCAAGATTGCCAATCTGCTTGGTTCCATGTCCACATATCATCGTCGGCGGTCTCCATGGTGTGGCTGTTGGACTCCTCATGTGGAGGCTCTGCTGGGACGACAACATCTTGAGGGGCACCAGGTTCGTCCCCTTGCCCTTGTTGCTGCATACGAAGTTCCTTTTCGCGGATGTACTTTTCAAGCCAGGCGGGGCGCCAACGACCATCAAAGTAGGCTTTGAGGCGTCGTTGCTTCTTAATCCACCTGGCCATACCAGAGCCACCATGATGCTCACGAAGCTCTGCCGCGGTGCGTGGCCTGCCAATCCATTGACCATGGCGCCAAAATCCGACTTCCCCACTTTGTGCATTATCTGATGAAGAGGCAGCTTCAGGGTCAGCCCCATCGTCCATCTCTGTGTTGGTCGAGGTAGATGGTGCAGTGGTCTCTATTGTTTGACTCCACGCAGACATGGAGCTGTTCTCCTCTCCAGCAGAAGTGGAGTCTTCGAGCATTGCTCCAAACCCACTGGACCATACAGCGAAGGCCTCGCCATAGAAGCTGCGTGCCTTGACAATCGGGCCATTGTCTGTTTGTTCCACATCTTCCACTACAAAAGGTGATTCATCCTCTTCAATTGGTCCAAGTCGTAGTTCTTGAGCTCGCCGTTCTTGGAGTCTACTACGTACACTCCCATTTGCATTGTGCCATCGGTCTCGTCCAGGTCGTGTGCGATTGAACCTCCGTGTTATCCCCTCCAGTGTCGAGCTTCCAAGACCCGCGGAGCTCAACGTTGTAGACGAACTGGCCGTCTCCGAGGAAAAACCAAGTTGAGCAGGTTCTCTCCAGTGAGTGCCCCATGGGTCACGACGTTGTTTGTCGTATTGTTCAGCCACTTGTCCATCCGTTGTTGGTGTCCCGCTTGAGCTTCTCCAAGATGACGAGGAGGTTGACAAAGAGGCAGATGTAGGGTCGCCGGGGGTAGAAGAGCAGGAACTGTTCCGGTGACTCCAGGAAGTCCCGGGGCAGGTGGACGAGGAGGAGGAAGTGCCAGCATTTTCTCCCGCGTCGTCCAGCAGAATTGACGGAGATGTGAAGGCATGTTCATTGGCTCCAGCATGACTGTTCGGTACCAGCCAGGTTTCAGGGTCACGTCCAGGTAGAGGAGCAGTGGTGGAACCAATCAGCTGTTGCCGTCCTCGTAGAGCTCTGCCATCCTGTAGGCCTCGTAGTATGTCGCCCCATTCCATAGACGGTGTAGTCTGTGAGAAGGGCGTGGGCAAAGTTTCCGGCGGCGGTGGGCTCTGCGGGATGTTTGCTTGGATTTGCAGAGGCTCGACCACATTCTCATAATTCTCCAGCTGTTCTGCCACAGCGATCTCTTCATCCCATGCATTCGCCATGAACCGCATGTACTCGTTGTAGGTGTATGGAGCCGAGCAGAAGGTAGAGGGCCTCGTCCATGTTGAAGATGATGTCGCCGGGGTTGACGAGGAGGCCGATGTCGTCCCTTCCTCCTTCGTGTCATTCTCCTCATCCCAGGCACAATTTCTCCAAGGAAAGCTCCACAGGAGCAAAGCGAGGAAAGGGCCAGCACGCACCATGTTGTGCAGCAGGCAGAGGGCGAAGTCGCAGAGGGTTGTCTCAATTGTTCGCCTGGAGCCGAGACACAACGCACAAGCAAACCACTCTTCAAGGCAGGCCATGTACCTCATTGTGAATGTGAGCACAATGGCGCAGACGTCATCAATCTGTAAGTCATGGCGAGAGTCTGGTTCAACATTCAACTCATCTCATTGACATGGTAGATCGAAAGGTGAAAGTCATGCGGAATGTTCCAGAGATAAAGATCTGTAAACTGCAAGAAGATACAAGGTTGAAAAATAAAGGTGGTGAAGTATCGTGCCCGCAACGAGTAGGACAAACCAACCTATGCACTCTCAGCAAGAGCTTCACAAGGCAGAGGTAGATCAGATCCTAATATCGCAAGGCCAACTGTCTGCCACTGCTCCACTTAACGTCCCACATCTCAATGTACTTATTTCGTGCACCACACCAAGCAATGCGATCTTGTGCCCCAATGTGCCATAAGCTTCCTTGAGTCTCTGCGATTTGTCGCTCGGGGTTGGAAGCGTAGAACCTACAAGGGTGTCGCATACCAATTGAGCAGGACATGGATTGTTGTTGTCGCCACCAATGTGTATTGCGCCAGAGGACAGCCCTCATAGCAAGACTAGGTGAACAGCCTCTCCCCGCACCCAGATTTTCGACTCTTCTTGCCCAATGGCCGTGCAAGTTGTGTTGTAGCGCGAGAATCTTTGTGCTCCATCTGGACACATGGTTGTTATGCAGCCAGACTCTACAGAACCTAAGTGTCCTTTGATTCCAACTCACCCAGTCTTCATCGCGAAATCGTTTGAGAGCGAACATCTTTCGGAGGAGATGTAACTGCAGAGTGTTGGCTGCCATCAGGTCTTGAGAGCTCCAGCAGGGCTCCTGCCGTCCAGCTCCATGTTCCTTCGACAAGGCTGCGCATCATGTCAATCTTTTTTGTCCAGGGTCCACTCGCACAGAGGATGTCAGCATGAGCAGCGCCGGCAGCACGCGCTCTGCCTAAGAGTTCTTGGGCCTGTTGCGACGGGCCCTCAAAGAAACTGAAGCTCACCCCGAGGACCTTGATAGACTCGTTCGTATCAGCCACGATGAAACGATCACCCCCAACATCGGCGATTCTCGGTCCCTTGTAGTTCCGACTTGCAATGATCTTGGTTTTGTTCGCAGCAAGTTTGAGTCCTGCTTGTCCAAGACATCGGTCAACGATCCTAATTCGTCTGACAAGTCGTCCCAAGCTATCGTCGATGAGGAACACATCATCCTGGTAGAAGAGGAGATCGATGTGAAAGTCATCCGCGAGGCCACCCATGTTCTTCCAAGCACGGCATTCCACAAGGTCAGAGAGCAGAGAATCAATCAGAATGCCAAACAGTTCGGCGCTCTCGGGAGCGCCTTGTTTGATACCCGTGTTGGGGCAAAGAGCGATAAGGTCACCCCCGGGGACCCGTCCTTCAAGGCGATGCGTGTGCAGTTGACGAAGCAAGTAGCGTAGTTCAGAAGATCTCCCCGATGACGACAGTCTGTCGATAAGGAGCTTCGCCACTTTGCGACGGTCCACTTTGTCAAATGCACCAGCCACATCAAGCTTGCAGATCAGTGCCGGCATGCGCCATTCGTGGATCACATCCCTGATGCGTGACATTCCGCCAATAAGATCGGCAGCTTGTCGACCTCTCCCGCAAGCAGAGATCTTTGAGCCACGTCTCAGATGTGGAAGAGCCCGAGCGCACACCAAACGATTCACTAGCTTGTTGAAAGCTGAGCTGACACAGATGGGTCTCAAGTCATTGGCTTTCATCGGTGTGGAGCATTTCGCCAGAAGAGCAAGGAAGCTGATGTTCCAAATTTCGGGAATCTCCTGGGTCTTCACGATGTGATTGATGAGCTGAAGAAGTTGATCTCCTAGAGACTCGTGGTTGGCAATCTCACGAAGCAAATGAACACTTATGCCATCAGGTCCCACTGCACTTTTGCACTTCATATGTTGAAGTTCTTCTTTGACATCTTGCAGTGTGAACCCAAGAAAGTCTTCCCTCTGAGGAATGTCACTGACAATCTCATTCAACTCATCATCCCAATGCTGCATCTTGGGGCACTCCATCTTCCCTGCAAGGTGATCACGAACCTCCTCCGTCAGAGTTGTAGACGATTTGCCATCAAGCATTGCCCCCCACCAGCCACGCTTCTTCTTCTTCTCATTTTGCAAGGCTCGAAACTCATCCCATCCACCAGCCAAGATGCGCGACAGTCTGCGTTCTTCCCATTGAATTCGATCTTGACGACGAAGACGGTGAACTTTTTTCCAGGCTGCCTTGGTTTTTGAAATTTTGGCATCCTTGATGGCCTGTTTGGTTTCGGCACAGTCTCTAAATGCTTGCGCAGCTTTGGGCTTCGTACAGGTCTTGCCAAGTTCAACAATATCACCGTCGTCGACAATGGTGGTGTTGGGTAGTTCTCGACAGACCCATCGAGCACGAGAATCATTGCCCCATCTTCGGAGAGGGACAGCTTTCCGAATGCTCACTTCTGCACGAATAAGGGCATGATCAGAGTTGATGGTGAATCTCCGATCTGGTTCGATGCATAGGTTGCCAATCCTGATGTTCCGCGTTAGCATGACGTCAATTTGCCTGCCTTCTCTGGTTTCATCACGGGGATAGTGCGTAGGCGTAGTTCTCTGTGTAGGCAGGGGCGGCACGATATGACAATTGGACTTGGCGGCTTCATCCAGGAGCACGTTGAGGTTCTCCGAGCAATGTCCAATCTCCAATTCCGTCTGGTTCGCATTCTCGATCCATTGAGGCTCCTCATTTGCGTCAACACTACAAAGGAGAGGATACATGCGCCACGCCGAAGGCAGCACGGCGAAAAACTCACCCACTGCTGCCTGGTACTTGGAGTTGGTGACACCGGTGAAGCAGTGCATCGATCCACAGACTACACGTCCAATCCCATGCAGTCTGGCAAGCACCCAAATCCCCCGAGTCGACGCAGTTTTACGAATGACACAGTCGAGACGATCTTTGGCTATCCCAATCGCAGTCCCCCTCCACTGATCGTGATGTCGGTGAGTAATCCAATGGTATTCATCAGATTCTTCACTTCCCCAACCCTCGCTGCCACGTGCAACCTCTTGCACAAGAAGAATGTCAGCATCGTTCGCTGCAACATCAAGCATTTTCAAAGGTTGGCCTCCAAGATTCCATCCAGAAACACGTCCCCAACGATGTATTTCACACGTCAGGTCCTTTCCGTTTCTGTGGCCATGTCGTCCCTTAGGGCAAGAACTCTCAGAGAACCGAAGAAGGTCTGCAGCGTCTGAATTCTGAGTGAAACCGTCCCCGTCTTCCTGTCACAGTTCGCGTTCAAAAGCATGGCGGGCTTCATCAATCGTGCATCCCGCTGTTGCTGCCACTGCATCTAATGCCACCCAGCCTGCAGAGAGAAGCACGTGTTCACCTTCTCTCGGGGCCTTGTGAGTGGCACTTGCTAGCTTATGACTACCGCACCATATTGTGCCCATGTTCCAATCGCAGTCATACGCAGTGTGTTGGGTGTTCAGCAAGTGCTTGATTCCTCCCTCCGCGTTTTTTGATGCCATAGCCAAGTCGCAAGTCACCCGCCTTGTAAGAGACACCAGAGAACTTTTGGCCCGGGCAGCTTTGGTTTTGACGAAGCTTGCCCAGATGGTTTTGGTCTCGCCAAGTTCCCGAGTGCTGGCCAATTCAATCTTACTTGCCGCCACAAGTTTAATAACCGACCACATTCTGTTCTTCACCTCAGCGAAGGTTTCCCCGTCCCTCTGCACAAACTTCAGCATGCCAACCGATCGACGGGGACCATAAATGGCGAGTTTCTCGGCATCAATCAATTCCTTGACTCCCTCCAGTTTGAAGAACACCTCACTCTCGGATTCAATGATGGATCTTTTAGTGTCCCGCGCCCATCCTCCCACCACCAACGTCCTTTTTTCCTCCTCGGAGAGCATGTCATTCCCGCGGTCGCCAGAAGGAAAATCGCCTTTGCCTACAGGTGGAACTCGCCCTTCATGATCACCATTGCCCTTGTTGCGGATAAACTCAGCCCAAGGATCAGAGGAAGGACCACCAGAGGGAGCTCGAGCAGAGCCCGGAAGTGCTCCACCGCCATTATCATCCCTAACCCCGAGCCCTTTGTCAGCAGTCTTCTGCAAGTCATCAATCTGCACCTTCATCTTCTTGACGTCCTCTGCCAGGTTGTCGAGATTCTGGGCAGTTTGCTCTTGGTTCTTGGTGATGCTGGATGTACTTTTCTCAAGCGCGTGGGTTCGAGTCCTGAGATTGATCATTTCGTGGCTTTGCTGGACCTGTTCAGTTTCCACTCGGTCAAGTCTCCCCTGGAAGGTACGCCAGGCGTCTTTCATTTCATTCATGTGGCCACACAGCAAGTTCCGGATCTCGTGAGCACTGAGAGGAGCTTCTCCAGGCTGAGCACGCTTTGAAGGACTATCTAAGTCAGAGTCTTCATCGTCACCCACAGGGATAGCACATCCTCGTCGGTCACTAGCCTCCTTTCGACGATCCTTTCGCTCTCGCTTTCTTTTTTCCTGCTTGATCTCCAGCTCCATCGCCTCGGGAATTTTGCTTTCAGCCTCAGACTCGGCAATCTCCGTTGGTGACCCCCTTTCTCCATTGCCCAGGGTCCGATCTTCAGCTTCATCTTCTCGGTCAATTTGCATCTCACCCTCCATGATGATGTGAAGTCACCACGCTTTCCAAGGACAAAGGAATGAGCCCAACTTCAACAGGGAGAGCGAAGGTCACCACCACCACAGAAGAGAAAGTGAGAAACTCGGCAAAGAAGCCACACAAGAACTTCGCACCCAAGATCAGGTAATTCACCCCGAGACAGTACACGCAATAGCCGAGCACCAGGAAATGTTCACCTCTTTGTGCAAGACTTGCAAAGCTTCCAGGTGATGACGATCGGGTAGGGCAAGAGGGGCAACTGGCCGCCAGATCACTATGTCGCCCCGGTTCCGAAGCAGCAACCTGGTAGTCAGCGGAGAGCGACTGGCCGCCACGCAATGCCTTCAAGACCGTGAGCAGCGAAT